TTAACTATCAAGTACAGCAACATTTAATTTGTTGATGTCGTGATAGAATCGAAATATATATCCAATCAGTGATTTATCGCTTGATAAAAACACTGTTTGTCATTAGAATGTGTATCATTATAATTCTTTCGCATCCGAACTCCAAAACAGTGATGTTATTGAGCGATAAAATCAACTGTTTGGGATATATTATTTCTTAAATATATATATTATAAAACATACTTGCAAACATGATTGATATAAAAAAGATTTTTGGTGATAATAACGTATAATGAAATTTATTTTATAAGGCATTATAGAAAATTAGCCATTATTTCTTAATTTTCAATGAAATTTGTTGGGAATTTTTCTTATATAAGTCAATTTTGATGTAGGTATAACTTGATATAATAATACTATGTTGCTTATTTAACTTTGATTCATTTACCATGAGGTTATAATCAGGTAATGTTACTCCCATTTTTAATGAATTTAAGTGTGTAAGTTTTGTATAGTTATACATCATAGAAAATAAGGCCATAATTTTTGAATATTCAATGTAATTTATTGAAGATATTCTTATTTTAAATCAATTAGATATGCTTGTTAATTAATATAATAGATTTATGTTGGCACTTATAATTCTGTTTCAGTTCCTAGGCTGTTATGATAAGGGTAAAAATCCCATTTTGTTAGTGAATTGGTGTTCTATCTTAAGACAGTAAGGTATCTTAGGAAATTTGCAATAACTCTTATATTTTGTACTGAAATTTGTGGGCTTCCTTACTTTAGTCAATTAGATATGTTTGTTAATTAATATGATAGATTAATGTTCCTCTTGTAGCTTTGTTTAATTTCCCCAAGGCTCTTTATATTAGGTAAAATTTTCATTATTTTGTAGTGCTTTAGTGCATTTCTTTTTTTAGGCATCTAGAATTGCCATAATTTCTCATATTTTGTAATGAAATTTGTTAGGACTACCTTATTTTAGTCAATTAAATATGTTTGTTAATTAATATAATAGATTTATGTTATATAAAAAAAATCTGTATCATTTGCTATGAGGTTAATTAAAGGTAAAATGCACCCTGTGTATCACTTTTATGTGGCACTGCTTTCTTTAATAGTTGGGGTCCCACATAGAATTTACTTTAACTTATTTGACATTATTGAAATTTTCTTTTTTAAGTCATCTATTTAAAGCTTTTAATTAAAATAAAGTTAATTTGGATTTACATTACTTTTTCACAGGGATCTTGTATTATGCTCTTTTTAATGAACTGAACCTACCTATGACAGCATAAAATTGATATGTAGGAAAAATAAAATTACAATCAATTGAAATTGTACAGGTCCCAAAAAAGATATACTAGTATGCAAAATAGGTTTTTTTAAAAATTTATATATAAATACATAGGTGATATTTAAGTATATTATAGTTAGAATTTTATCAGTTAGGAGGTTTATAACTTATTGAGGGAAGTTTAAACAAGTGACTTGGGAACCTTACAGCATACCTATCTTTACTCAGCTGAGAAAAAATCTTCAAAGAATTATATGGTTTTATATATGGATAGGTTATATACTTTTTAAGTTTAGCAAAGGGCGACACTGGCTCATCTCGGGTATTCAAAGGGGTATTTATGTTAAGTAATGATTACGGATTGATAAACCTAAAAAGTGATTTTTAAATAATATACAGAGTAAAAATAAGAAAGCTTTATATGTTTATCAAAGTGGGTTATATTATGGACCTCATATAAGATTAAGATATATTTGAGCCGCATCACGATAAAACCAAATAATGAGTTTGGCGACCAGCATGGATCCAGACCAAGCGTGGGCATCTGTTCGCTATCTGAAGTGTTACATGTATACGGTTTGTAAGTGAACAGTAAAAGCCCAGGCCCACATACAAAAATAGTAGTCTATGCTTGATTATGAGCTGACCAAAAATGGGGGAATTTTGTAAACTTTAAGGGTGGCTTAGCCTGTCCGTTGTGATTACATGTCTAAAAAGCCAAACATGGTATATTTTTAGCACCATAGAATTTTTTATCTAGAAAATAATCTAGCTATTTTTTTTTTGTACAAAATATAGAAATTGTACAATGTATAATTAGTAAAATGTTCACTTATACATGTACAAATAATGAAACTATAACAAATGTCGGTAAGCTGCGGTACGGTATTTAGAGTGTCACGGGTCGAGTCCATGTCAGGAAATGCACTTTTTTCTCACCCTGTGACTGACAAACATTTGTATAGCCCAGCTAAAAATTAATTCACAAATGCTAAGTAAGCCTGGGAAATTTCGAAGAAATATTGCATACACAGTAGGTTTTAGTAAAACGTGTAAGCGGCCGAAATAGTCAGAGGAACTAAGAATGACCGCGGAATCGTATTGATAATTCGAGTGTCAGGGTTCGAGTTCCTGCCAGGCTGTTAATATTCAATATAAATCTGTCAAGGGGAAAAATAGGAAGGAAACTGTCTAAAAATAATTATCACCCTAAATATCATGCGGATAGGATTCGGACATCTTTGATGAAAAGTCAGAAGATGAACTTGTAAAGGGGGTGGGGTGCTAGTCTGCTTACATATTTGATGTCTGACAAACCTCATATCTAATATATTTGGTACGCAATATAAACACCTGTTTGCTGAATTGAATATCAAACATGTTGCAATTAAAATTTAGTAATTATATCTTATGCGTATGTAAAATAGGATTAAAACTAATTAATCTTCGGCGTAAAGCATGTATAAAGAAATCTTACCAGTATTCACCGCGATGTTACAAAACTTTAAAACTTTAACTGTAAATATCACAAAATAATACTTCTTTATATAATATTTCTATTTTTTGACAGGGGACAAGAGAACATCTCTTACATGTTTAAGAAACAACAAATTTACATAATATATTACCTATCTAAGAATATTTTTTAACTTGTCATATAGTAACAGACGCAAACACGGTTTACTTAAGCGCTTAGACGAACGCAGACGCACGCTAAACGTTTTCTGGGAAATAAGAAAACGCACGGCTTTCAGACGCACGATAAACCGAAAAACGATACACGAAAAACGATAAACGTTAAACGCTTGTAAACGATGCACGCTTGAGAAAGCGTTTCAGCAAACGCACGTTGCACGCTATACGCACGCACGTTACACGAAAAACGGACGCACGAAAAACGCTATTTTTGACAACCGAAACGTTCACCCTACTGTATGAGATATAATTACATTATTGCATAAAATTGCGTATGCAAGTATACATTTATGGAGAAAAACATGCATTTACGGACAGATGCGACGTTGTTGCATGTTTTAAATATGCGTGACTCAGGGCGGAAGCATGGCACAGAAAAATGTTTTTTTTTAAATCAAGAAATACAGTTAACAAAACGCCAAATTAACATTTTAATAGTATACTTCATGCAAGAATATCTCTAATGCACCTTTCTGAAGCCATTTGATATATTAATTCTCGTTCTTCTGTGGCTGTTGTTGCACATTTTTGGGTATTTACCCTCTATTATATTTTGGAACTATTGGAAGTGGTTGCAGATGATAAAAGAAATCGATCTTTACTACACACTAGTAAACGTATTTTGCTAAATTCATTCACAATTTTTTTGGTTTAATAGCTATACAATTACATTCAAAATCATGGATATTCTGAGCTATACAGTGCTAAAGACAAACATTATTTGTGCTCAATAACGGAATATATTACATTGGAAACGTACTGTTCCATTTTAACAATATAATACTCTAATATTTAACGTTAATTAACATTTCAGTAACGCTTGTTTTTACAGTCTGTATTTACGCACAATAATCCAGATCTGCGAGAAATTCCCATATCGTCAGCATTTTCATCTGGCACCGCACGTGCATATGCTAAACTTTATGGCATCCTGGCTAATGGAGGGACAGAGGAGGGAAACAAGCTCTTGTCAAATAAATCAATTAATAAATTAGCTACGCCCGTAGTGTCAGGGATCGACCTTGTTACCGCGCTATATGCATCATACAGTGTAGGCATGCAATTTTCAAAGAATCCAAAAGTATGTAATTTTCCTTTTTTTCAATGCAAAATATTTTGAGTTAGTCAAATAAACCAAATTTGTAACTTAGCTGTATATAAAAATGAACATCTAATGACGAAACAATGTAAAATGTCTTGATACGAATCAGTTATGTCAAGAATGAAATAGGCCTGTAAAATGAAAGATAAATGCCTGTCAATATATTTTACAAATAATTGTTAGATATGTTATTATATTTCAGGGAGGTATTGTTTTTGGACACCCGGGTCATGGAGGTCAGGTGGCTCAAGCAGATTTGGAGAATGGTATTGGACTAGCGTATCTTACAAATTATATAGACGTTTACGCACAAGGTGATCATCCACGATTTCTGGCGCTTTTGCAGGAATTTTATGCCTGTTTAGAGAACTTCTTAAAGAGCAAGCAGTAAACACAATTATTGACACTGAAAAACAGTTGGAGTTTTAAGCAAAGTGGACGGGCCATTAGTTAAACTTTTATGTAAGGGAACAGATGTTGACGTATTCACTGTATTACATAGTGGAATAAGAATGAACGACGAGTATTATAGAATTCTTTTCATTTAAGATTAAATATTTAAATACATCTCCTTCAATAACATCATATCTGATCACGGTTTTAATTTAAAGCCTAGGTCTGGTATATGCGAAACTTATTTTGAAGTGAATAATATTGCGTTTTATCACGAAAATATCTAATGTACAAATATACATATAATCATATATCATACAACATGTACAAAAAAGGTACGCAAGGGCAATTTTCTCATTTAATTTTGACAATTTATGCACAAATGCATTACATATAAGTGATTTCGCACATAAAACCTCAAAACATTTGCAAATGTTACTGTTTTATTGATATAATATACTATTATATGTTCCGCTACATTAATTTTAACTATCTTTGAATTTGTAAACTAAAATGATATTTTGTCAGTAACAGCTTCCTTGAAGTCAGCGAGAAATATAACAAGGTCTTTGCCAAACGTTATATTCATCATTAATGTGTGAATGCAGTTATTTGTTACTTTTTAAATACCATAATACATTGAACCATTCAATAAAAGCATTAAAATTTTATATATACAAAATTATATAAGGTAAATTCTTTAATCACTTAAGTGACATGACAGTTTCGCGTAAACGTCGGTACCGTCTTTTGTCTAAGGTTCTGAATGACCGGGTCACGTGAATCAGAGGGCGAAGCAATCTCTTCTCTGGCGTTATGTCAATTGACATTACGCCAGAGAAAGGACTGCTCCGCCCATTGATTCACGTGACCCGGTCAATAAGAACCTTAGACAAAATACGGTACCGATGCCTTTTCACTTCCACTCGGAGCGAGCAAGTCGCTGAGAAGGCACAGGACATCGGCAGATGATTGAAGGACAAATGCTACGTTTAAGGCGGCAAGTTCGCATGTTCTCTACAGCTCGGGGTAACGTTTAAGGCGGCACGACTTAGTTTGCATGAATTTAGCTGCCGGTATCCTGACTAATGCCGAGGGGAGTTGCCCTACAGTAGTCTGAGTATGGTGTGCTAGGGTGCGTGAGCCCCTAGTACAGATAGACGGCTTGTAAGGCAAGCCATTTGCTGGCACTAACAGCCCTTTTCAGGGCTACTATTTTCATATTGTCACAGGTTACTGTACATTTAGGTTCTCATTGGCCGCCGTACAGTGACCTACTTTTGGCTCAAAATTCATATCTTTGGCTAATACTGCGTGGAAATTGCATGGAGGTAAATTATCATCACTTTGTACTTCAAAATTAACTCTTTAAGGGCATGACTGGTGACATGTCCGGGGTCCGTACTCGACAGCGAAAGCTGCTTTTTGTGCCCTTATGCGCGGATGGACCCTCATTAAGCATTAACTACATACAACTACATACATACATACGGTACCGATGTATTCGAAAAACTGTTATACCATGAATGTTACCAATGAATTTACCTTATATAAATTTTGTATATATAAAACTTTGATGCTTTTAATGGTATTATTGAATAGTAGTTCTATTTTTCAGTATTTAAAAAAAAAAAAGGTTTAAAAAAATCTGCATTCACTTATTAATGACGCATGAAGCGTTTTGCAAAGATTGTGTTATTTCTTGTTGACTTCAATGAAAATTTTAAACTGACAAAATATCATTATACCTTTCAACTTCAAAGAGTGACTATATGTAGAAAAGTATATGCTTATGTTATGGTCGTTTTATTTTGAAAATGAAGTAGCGAAACAAAAACAGTAAAAATTTATTTGTGACACAAATAAAATTTAAAAATCATTTTCCGGGTTTTATGTGCGAAATTCAGTTTATATAACAATTAAATTGTTCATGAATTGTTAAAATTGATTCAGAAAATTCATGCCCTTGCTAACTTTTTATTATATGTGATTATATATTGTGAACATACATTTGATATATGATTCACGACAAAACACAACGTTATTTATTCCCTTTAAAATAAGCGTCACATAAATCAGACATGATGTTATTAGTATTAGTTTCGTATTAAGCAGATCTATTTGAGTATCTAATATTAATTTTTTGAACTTTAATAGAAATATTTAGGTTAGATATTTCCGCCCAATTTTTAATTGTGTTTACTCATTATATTTGCATTTTTACGACTGCGTTTTAATTGACGTTTTATTCATAAACGAAAAAAATGTCATATCTTCTGGATATTCTGGGACCTTGCAATATGTAATATGATTATGAATAGATAGAATGGAAATGAAAAAAGTGGATTTGTTTATTTTTTTTCTTTTTCAATGAATTTGTGTTATAGCCGGGATAAATGTTTCGTACTTAATTATTTTTCCATGTGTAGAAATTTATTGATTTTTTGTATAATAAACTAACTTACTCGATCTGTCAATATGTCAGTATATTTGGTAACTTTATAATCATAAATATTAATTAAAAAAGCTATAAATTTACAGAAAATTAAAATGACTTCAGTCTAAATTACTTCTGCACCATTGTCTTAGACAAGTAGCTTGTCTAAGGAAAATGGTGGACTTCGCAGGCATCTTAGCGTGGAACTGATAACGATCGCTGATTGGCTTATCTCTGTACCCCTGCCAATTTGATTGACAGGCGGCGTAATGTCAATTGGAACATTACCAAAATAACTCTATGTAATATCAAGCCTTCTTATCCTCATGGCGTTTGGCAAATATTTAATCCACATATGATATGATATGCTATCGTTCCTGGGCAGGCTGTCTATCAGTTTACCAGTACTAGTTGCCAGGAACTGATAAATTCTGTACATGCCAGAGTAGAGGTATAGTGCAAATGACTGTAGAAAATCGTAATTTATATCGCATATAAATTCTTTTATGTTTGATTAGTAACCATCACCAATTTCTTTAAGATATGTATTTCAACCTATACTGTAACGTTAATTAATCTGTTCCATATGTCTGCATTTTACAACTGTATATTTCTTTGATCTTATGACTGCACAATAACAGCAGGAGGCGCGCAAATTGTACACTTTCACATGGGAAGGGAGATGGCTTGGTGTGATTAAGTTGTAATGAATTACGCAAAACCCTTTCATTCTTTGAAATACGTGCGCTTGACAACTTCTATACAGTATCATTTTCTTTGAACCGGAATAACATTTGTAGTTCAAAAATACTGCAATACTTATATATATATCATATTCATTTTTCTTCCTTTACCTCCCCTCAACCCACCGAACTAGAAGTGAGATAAATAACTTCATTTAACTTGGATATTTTGTATTTTAATGTAATAGTTTTTTGTAGTTTTTATGTATCACAATGGACTTAAACTCTATAAGTTTTCCGTTTGTTTTTGTTTTACTTTATATTTTTTGCAAAATGCATCAACTTAACTTTTATGTTGTTCAGCCTACTAACTTAAAGTTAAGAGTTTGTAAAATATTTTTCAAGGATGTAGCCCTACATCAAGTGGTACTAGACACAAGATAAAAGGGCACAGGTTTCCAGACTATGGTTTTTCCTGGGCGAGTCGTAATTAGCTGGTAATTAGTTAACGGTATGCATAGACGGATATATTAATTTAATGAGCTGTCACGAATACTATGTTTAATTTAGTTAATTAATAGACCTGTCAACACTAAAACGGGAAGTGTACCGTTTGTACTTTAGATCGTGCAAACATAATGGGTTATTTAATTGTTTAGCTGTCAACAAATGCATATATACTCTATGAATTATTAAGTTATTAAGTCTTAGGCGTAAAGTATTTTAGTATATAAGGGGAGCGAAATATTTGATTATTTAGTGTAGTTTTTGATGTTAAAGCAGACTCACTCACTTAAGGTTAAATTATGCTAAATACGCAATTGGCATTAATTCTTATTATTTTAAATATTTGTATAAGAATTGTAAAGTTGTTAAAGACATTGTTAAAGCAATTGTGTTGTATTGGTGAACAGTAAATCATATAAAATAAATACATATATATGACGTTTATAAACTTTATATTGTGTTGACTTGTTCATATTGAGTTTATTCAGATCTGAGCGTTACACTACAAGGGACGATTTGGTGCTCTAGTGACTACAGGATTCGATACACCAGAAGTTTTTGCGGAACACAACGACGAAGGGGGCCATTATTCGATCAGCCACGGGAACCAGTTTCCAGCGGAGCCAGACACGAGATTCGGTGAGTTTTTTATCCTCTGTTTTTTTGTATTTGTTGTTGGCTTAGGACTATGGCAGAACCAGATATTGCTAGAATTTTTGAGAGTTTAAGTAGGGAACTAAGTAATGTTAGCTCTTATGTTGGCACACAAAGTATTTCCCAAGTTATTCCGGCTTTTCAAGGTGATCCGGGGGATTTTAAATTATGGATTAAGAGTATTGAGAAATTTGGGGTATTAAATAGGGTACCTGAGGAAAGATTAAAGCTTGTCGCGTATCAGTCAAGTAAAAATTCGGTTAGTGATTTTATTAATAGACATTTAAGAGATCATCCTGACAGCACATGGGATGAATTCAAAACAGAATTAGGTTCAAGGTTTGACATTATTCAAGATCCACAATACGCATTTTCTTTGTTACGATCAATGAAACAACACAAAAATGAAAATGTTCAACTTTTTGCAGAACGATTATTATCTTTAGCGGAAATAGCTTATAGGGGAACTGACGGGAATTTAGCTCTGATTGAAAGACAAATTATCATGTTCTTTACGGACGGGTTACGTGAAAATTATCTCAAGATGAAAGTCATGCGAGATAATCCAGATACTTTACAAAATGCAGTTCGATCGGCTATGAATGAACAAAATTTAAGAACTAGGTTTAATTTAAGATTTCAAAATAACCAACATTCCTCTGAATATCACCTTTCTCCAGGGCAAGAACCTATGGAAATTGATCATTTTAAAGTCCGAACTTGTGCTTATTGTAGAAAACCAGGTCATCATATTTCTGATTGTAGAAAAAAACCTAGGCAAATATTACAGGTAAATTCTGATATCAGATACTCTACCTCGAATAACGGTCAATATAGATCATCAGACCGACCTCATGACAACCAACAAAGGTATTTTAGGCAAAATAATGATAATTACAGACAGAGATATTACCCTAGGGGAAATTTTGGTAATAATGACAGATATACACAGGACAGACAATTAGCAAAACAAGACTGGAAATCTAAACTTACTTGTTTTAGCTGCGGGCAAAAAGGTCACATCGCTAGGGAATGTAAAACACAAATGCGTTATACGCCACGAAAAAACTAATTAACTCTTATTATAGAGTCGATAATAGGAGAAATAAGAAGTCACGTGTTTTCAATATTGCAATTTGCGGTAATCCTAATTCTTGTTTTATAAAAATTGGAAATGTTAGATTTAGAAGCCTTATTGATACAGGTGCTGAAGTATCGATTTTATCATTTAGATCTTATTTGTCACTCAAAAATAAACCAAAATTAATTCATAAATCCGCGAATCTTCAGTCTGTAAATGGTCAATTTTTACACGTTAAAGGTTGTATAGATCTTACATTTAAAATTGGTTCAGTAAAGAAAACACATAAATTTTTTGTGGTAGAAAATATTAATCGAAGCGCTATTTTAGGGAGAGATTTTTTGTCGAAAAATGGTGTTCGACTTTATTATGATTTAAATTGTTTACGAATTGATCACCATTATATTGCTTTAGAGGAAGATATACACGTAGCTTCTATTGTTAGACTCGAAAATGATTGTGTTTTACAACCTCAAACATCACACATAGTAAGAGGAAAATTAAAATATTATCATGGTTTACTAAAGGAAAATGTTCCATATGAATTGTCCGGCAAAATTGACTGTGACATAAATTCTGAACCTCAGGTAAAAATTATAGATTCAGTGGTATACCTTCATAGCCATAGGCAAATACCTGTCATGATAGTAAATAATACTCACAAATCTATTAGGTTAAGGGCAGGTACTTCACTCGCGCAGGTAAAGGTTGTTGACAGATATGAAATATCATCCATAACTCAGAACGTAATAAAAAACACGTGTGAGCCAGATTTTTTTGATGATATTCAGGTACCAGTTCAGCACGCTAATATGCTTAAAGATTTTTTAAAATCAAATAGAGATGTTTTTGCTAAAGATGATTCAGAATTGATAGGTACTAATACAATTGAAATGAAAATAGACACAGGTGACCATCCACCAATTAAATTAAAGCCATATAGAATTCCTTTTAAAAATCTTCAAGATACATCGGACGCTATAAAACAAATGCTTCAGGCAGGCATTATTACACCATGTCACTCGCCATGGTCATTCCCTCTGGTCATTGTCTCAAAGTCTGACGGCTCTAAGCGTTTCTGCGTAGATTTTCGAAAACTTAATCAGATAACAGACAATACAGCGTATCCATTGCCTCGTATTGAGGATATAATAGCTAAACTTGGACATTGTCAATATTTTACGAGTCTTGACTTAGCGAGTGCTTTTCACCAAATACCTATTAGAGAAAAAGATAAACAAAAAACAGCATTCTCAACTCCAAACTTTGGCATGTATCGATATGAGAGGTTACCTTTTGGATTAGCAAACTCTCCAGGTTATTTTCAGGCTTTAATGAAGATAGTTCTTAAAGACTGTGATGATTTTGCTATCAGTTATATCGACGATATAATTGTTTTTAGTTCTAATTACGAGGATCATTTAAAGCATATAGAAACTGTTTTCCAGAGGTTACGGCAACATAGGTTAAAACTCAAGTTGAAGAAATGTCAATTCTTACAGGCTGAAATTGAATATCTAGGTTTCGTGGTTAATCGCCATGGCATTAAACCAAATCAAAACAAAATAAAAGCTATAAGAAGATTATCTCCACCTACTAGTTCTAAACAGGTTCGCTCACTTTTGGGTATGACTGGATTTTATAGATTTATGATTAGATCTGGAACAAAAAGTTACACAGAAATTATATCGCCTCTGATTGACTTAACAAGGAAGAATATTAAGTTTAACTGGACACAAGAATGTCAAGAAAGTTTTGATTTATTGAAGGAAAGTCTTACTTCAATTCCATATGTGGGTTTTCCTGATATTAATAAGCCTTATAAACTGTACTGTGATGCAAGTGAATTATGTTTATCGGGGGTCTTATCTCAGGATTGTGAACCAAACGACCAAGGTTCTTATGTTAATCAGAAGCCAATTTATTTCATATCACACCGTTTCAATAAAACGCAAAGAAAATATTCCATAGTTGAGAAGGAATTTTTGGCAATTTTCTACTGTGTAAATAAACTACATCATTATCTACATGGCGCAGAATTCACTATCTATACTGATCAGAAATCATTAATCCACATTCTAGATAAGCCTTTTAACAATAAAAAAATACAGCGGTGGGCAACTGTGTTATCAACTTATAATTGTAAAATAGAACATATCCCAGGAAAATTAAATGTAGTTGCAGATTTCTTAAGTAGACCAGCA